TCAAACAACACATTGACTGATGAGGTGGTGTTATTAGATCTTACAGATAAAGCAGGTTATCACATTGCCTATTTAACAAGAGGTACTTAGGCCAAGCCACTTACAGACAGGATACTGATAAATCTGAAACCTGAGTTGACTCTGCCCTCATTCCTCTAGCACCTCTAAATTGAACTTTTTAAGAAGCTGGCAAAGATTTGTTCATAACAATTCAACTTATTTCCCACTCCCCCATCCCAACACACACACACACACACACACACACACACACACACACAGCTCAGAGGTGCAGGAGTGAGAGGCACAGTCCAATCCATTTTGCAGGGGATGCCTTCTATTTACAGATCCACAGTTTACTACAAAAGGAATTCATGTTCAGAAGAATGACCCAGAAACACAAGGCGATCTTCAGTCATAATGGAAAAATTAAGCTGTGAGCGCTCCAGTTATATTGACCATAGAATCCAAACAAAGACTTTCTGTGCCACTCCTGGGTTCAAGGGGCAGACTAGGAGATGTCGTAATAGTGAAATATCTGGCATATTTCAATGATTTATGTGGGAACTGTGGCAGCATATTTGAAAGTAGGTTATTCTAGAAAATCAGAGATACATGATTGAGATAACCACCCAGTCATTTGAAAGACAAGATTCTACATTAATATCTTTGGAAGGGTTTTCAGCCAAGGTTTTTTTTTCTGATTAACCTTCATCAAAAACTCCCATTTCTGAAATAATTTATTTAATTGATAGTTAACTGGATTTATATTAGAACATTTAAAGTATAAAAATGTCATTTAAGAATTAATTTATTGGCACATACACATAACTCAAACGCCATAGAAGATTTTTAAAAAGAGCTTCTAAAATGAACACTATGTTTATTGTTAAAGTCCTGTGCAACTTGAAAAGAGCTTTCTACTTTGTGTGTTGGTTTTTACATCTCTATCTTCCTCCCACACAATAATCTTCTAATTGAAGAATTCGCAGCTTTTTAAAGTTTTAAAAATTATAAATTTCTTGAGAGGAGAATTTATAATCTTTCTCACTTATTGTATATTTACCTTCTGGGAAAGAGTTTAGCAATGTTTGTGGAATGTGTACAGGGGTTTAACATATGAGGAAGGTAAGTTATATGTGTCTGATATCTACAGGAACTTTCTTTAATTCTTAGGCTTAAAGAAATTATAAACAAACAAACAAAACCTCCCTGACAATATTGACTGGTTATACATGGTCAGAACCAGACTTCTAGAAAAGAGAATGAAACTTTTGATTCACGTCCATCATCCTACCAGAAAATCAACATTCTAGCCATTTATCTTTTAAGGAGAAAAAAAAATAAAGATCAGATTCAATGCAAGGGCTTTCCATTCTGACTGGCAAATCAAATTCTAACTAGAGCTTCCAGATCAATTCCATAGCTTGAGTTTAAACAAATAGATGTCTATCTCACCCACTGTTTCGTCTTAGACTTTAGAATCCACCTTTTTCTGGTGGTAAAACTTCAACTCATGCTTTTTTTTTTTCTTTATAAGTTACATATCAATACTTCCCTCCTAAACATACTAATTTATCTGGATATTGACAACATTCTAATATTTCTTTTCTTCTACAGCAAAGAAAAACTTAGCGACTCTCCTGCTTATTTTTTAAAAAATGACCTTATTCTGTGCTCTTTTGGAGACTTAAGCAAAAGTCCCTGTTCTTCTCTTCTTTCTCATGGTATTAGTTACCACAGTCATGCGGCAGAGAAGCAGAAAATTATGTCCTACTTTAGAAAAACAATTGGGCCTTTTCACCGAAATATTTATTCAAAACCCCATTCAATTCATACTGTGGCTGTCAGTCTTTATTTAGTCTCTCTTTCACAGGGTATCTTTGATTTTGCCACTTTGACCCCAATTTATATCTCACTAGGAGAGGATTTAGATACTGTTTAATACTTAAAATTTAGGTCCCAAGACTTGGAGAAGAGGGCTTTTCTTGTTCCTTAATCACCCATCACTGTTTGTTTTAAAAATAATTTCATCTCATTAATGGGTGAAATCCTATTTCAAAAAGAAAAAAAAAAATTTTTTTTTTTTTTGCCCTTTTTCCTTTTGATGTATGGAGTAGGGAGAAGACAGGGAAAAGGGCCAAGAAGTTGTCACACTCACAATTTCACCAAAAGCAACTATATTTAGAACAAAAAGTATTAAGATTTATCCTTATGCCCCCTGAGCAATTGATGCTGCAAACATCTGGAGCAACCTTAAACCAAGATAATCCAGGAGGCATCTGAGAAGAAACTTAGTGACTCACATACCTGCCAGGGCAGTGTTCATCCCTATTATCAATACCACATTCCCTTAGTAGCCCCCTAATCCTAACTTTGCATGTTTATAACAAGCAATTTGAAGGCCTTAGGACAGACAGCCGGCAGCTGGTTGGCATGTCATTCTCTTCCTTTAAAGTTAAAAAGAAAAAAAAAAAAAAGAAAAGGAATACTCTAGCATCTTTCAAAGTGAACTTGTGGTGTAATCTATGTTCAAAGGTTTGATTCTATTTCCTACACACACACACACACACACACACACACACACACACACCATAAAAATCTAAGTAGGATCTCAAAGTAGAAAGCAGTTTGGGTTGGAATTTCGTTCTATTTCTCTCCCCCTTTGCCCACTGTTTCCTCTGTGTTAAGAGCACAAACAGATCTGCTTCTCATCAAAACAGCCATTAAGTACAATGGAAAAGGCTGTGGTTTTTATGTTCTTACTTATACAAATGTACCCTAATGCACTTTTATTTCAAAAGCCCCAACTAGCTATTCCACTGTGACCCAACACAGCCGGGCCCCGAGTGGTGCAGATATTTGTTAGAATCTCTTTTTAAAGTGTTTTAGTTTTTTTTTTGTTTTTTTTATGCTTAAATAGTTTGAACAACTAAACTGACTAGTCATACAGTCGTTTATAGAGAATAAAACAGCTCTGCAGGGGCACAAACAATATTTACATTTTATCCATTTAACCTGAAGTTAGGGTGTGGGATTTAAACCCTTGTGAAATTGACCACAATAAGCACTAATTGCCCTGCTTACAAAAATAAGACACTGGAATTTCTGAAATCCTTTTGTCAGAAGGCTTTATTTACTTTGTCTAATGCAAGTTTCTTTGATTAGCTCAACTTGGCTGTTATCAACACTTCTTGCTTATCGGGCTAGCCCTAGGCAAATGACACATTCACCACTCGCTCTCCCAGATAAAGCAAATCCCTTGTTTAACTTGTTCGAGAACAAACAAAGCTTTTCCCTCTACTCTTACAACTTAATAGGCACGTTTGGAGGGCTAATTACAAAAGGGAGATTGTCTACGCCTAAAAGCTCTATTAAGTTGAATAACTTTCCAAAAGGATCCCAAGCCATATTTTTCCTTCTGTTAAAAAAAATATGTTTCCTTAGAAGTTTCTGCAACAAAAAGCTTCAGACTGCCCCAGTTCCTTGGGATTCCAACTGAAATTGTTCATAATGTTTTAATTGCTACAGAGAGGACTGGTCTAAAAGATCCGAGTGGATTGGAAAATTATTTTGTAACAGTTTCTTGGAGTAAGAAAATAGGCAGCAAGAAAGAAAAGACATTAGGGAGAAGTTGAAGATTAAGACACCTTATGAAAACTACATATATAATTTTTTTTTCTCTGCCTATGGCTGTATGAAATGTTAAGTCAGACAGCCAGACCATTGGCATCAGATGGTTATTGATTTTTCAGCTACAAACCTGTTGATTTCCTGGCCCAAGAAACAAGCCTTTTTTTTTTTTTTTCTTAAGAAAAAGTTTCAGAGAGGACAGTTTAAATCCTGTCTTGTCCTTTCCTCTTCTCCCCTCTCTCTTTAGATTAGCCACCATGTTATTAGGAAAACTCAATTTCTTCCAGTTAAACTTTGACCTCTTTGAAAACAAAGATTTAAACTGTCATTTTCAGGCTAATGCTCCAATGAATTGTCAAATAAAGTACTAAAAACATTTTGATAGATAGCTGAGCCATTTATCTAAATCACTGTCAGGGCGGCAAAGTATCCTGCAGGCTCCCACTACAGCCACCCGAAGGTGGGATTTTCTGGGACTCCTGGTCATTTCTCAATCCTGCAGCCAGGCTACTGTTGACCAGATGCGTGCCTCGGCACCGTGTCAGCATCAGATAACCAAATAGTCAATATTTTTTTTTAAAAAAACAGGGCTACCCCACTTATATTTCCTTTCATTTAGCTGGTGTCCAGGCTCCCAGCCGAATTGCAAGATATGGAAATAATGGATGGCTCAGCCCAAGGGGTGTTCATTGCCAGTAGTTTTCTAGCAAAACAAAACTTCTTAGACCAACAAAGTGACTCGGAAAGGTGGCAGCAGGGTCAATGCTAAGAAATATTGCCTTTCCTTAGCAAGGAAAACATTGGAGGCGGCCGCCTGAACTGGTGGTTTATGAACTTCGGGAGCAGCAGCCACCTTAATTAGGCTAAATTCCTTGCAGGGAAGATGTCATATTTTAATTACTTTGGACTGCTGAAATACACAAGAGAGGGATATATACAACTAGCAGCTAATCCAAAGAACAGCAAAGTTAAATTCCCCTCGCACACATCTTAGTAAAACCTGCACAGTGTGTCAAATTGCCCTACTTGAAGAATGTTTCAAAGTCCTGTGGTCACCCCTCTACTCCCCCCACCCCGTCCCTCCAGGCATATTTTAAAATCTGTTTCCAAGAGATTATAAGGGGGGGGGGGGCGGTAAAGAGAGGGGCACGGGTAAGGGAGCCGTTATTTGGAGAAGCAAACATCTAACAGGAAATTTTCAGCAGAGGGGAATCAATATGCATGCGTGCATATCACACCCCTTCAGCATTAAATCGTTAAATCCTTTGTCTTGCTACCAATGCAGTTTATTTCCAATGTCTTTATTGCATGCAAGAGAAACCATTAATTTTTTTTTCTTGGTAGAAGAAGGGAAAAAAAAATAAACCTACATTGAGCAGTGTGCCGATGCTGCCATTCGGTTTGGGTCAATCCACTGAAGCATGCTTTGAGAGCTTTCTCCTGGAGCATGCAGGAAGACGGACTCGCAGTGTAGAAATCCAGGATTTGCCCAGGACTCACTGACAGAACATCCATACAGTCAAACATGATCTCCCCTGCACCGAATGTCTGTAAAAGTGCTTATCCTCTAGGTGTGGAGGCAAATGGCATAGAAAAGTCCACCCAACTCCATCAAACTCTGCCCCTTTTTTGGCACGTAGGCTGTTGGTCTTTTTCCCAGCCCCGAATCATGAATTATGACAGACAAGCCAGCTAAAAGCCTGTAATTGATCCAAATGATCATTTACCATTTTCCAGGCTTGCTCGGCCAATCCAGCCGGGGCGGGGGGTTCCCAGAATGATCCCAAGTTCTCCTTCCAAGGAAATGCCTGCAAAAAGCCTTCCGAATGCGCTCCGGTTCCTACCCCGACGGTGCCCAGACAAACCCTGCCCGGCTCGCTCGCGTCCTCGGCATCCCAGTCCTCAAACTGCTCGCCTGGGGGAATTCTGGTCCCCCCTTTGGCAAAGAATAGACCCTCCTGCCTCTGAACAGCTCACTTCCTACTACTTCTGTCACACAGAATGAAAGATTGAATTGCCTAATATATGCGAGTGAACTTTCGGTGAACCCTTCCCGGGCTGCTAACCTTCAAATGACCCAACTAGTCTGACATCACCAACTCCCAGGATTCTCACAGAGCTTAAAAACTCCCAGCAGCCCTGCAAAAGCAGACAGCCAGAGAGGCAGGCAGCGAGCGCACCAGCCGGCGCTTTCTTTCCCATTTCTCACCTTAAAAACAATGCAAGAAGTGCTTTTAAAACGAGCCGGGGAGGAGCCAGGCGGCCGCTCCCGGCTCACGTGGAGCGCCAACTTCTCTCCCTTTACTGCCTTTTTATCCGGCGCCTCGGCCAGGCGTGCCATCGGGCATCCCCACCCACCCACCGTCGCCGCTCGCCCCCAGCCCACCCTTTAAATCCCTCCCTGCGCCTCTCTGTCTGTTGATTTCTTTGTAACTTGTGTATTTTTCCACTCTCGAGAAAGCATGTGGAAGCCCTAAACTGAAGAACAGAGAACGGCTACCCCTCGGGGAAGCCTTGGGTTAAGAAAACTTTCCATTCCATAGTTCCTTCCCACCCCACCCCCCCTTCTCCCTCTTGCAAGCCGTTGCTGAAAGGATTGCATTTGCTCTGGAGTGAAGAGTCACCTTTCTGGTTACTTTTGGAAAAAAAAAAATTTCCAGGCTATTTGGATAAGGCAGAGGGGAGTGAAGGGAGTGCAGGGGGCAAGGGGGTAGGAATAATAATAGTAGAAAGAATTAGACATTATTATCCTATATACATATATGATTACATGAGCATCTACATCATGTACAACATGAAAAATGAGAAGTTATACTCCATTTATGCATGATATGTCAAAATACATTCTTCTCTTATGTATAACTAATTTGAACAAATTAAAAAATCAAATATGCAAAAAAAAATATTTCCAGGCTATAAGCTACATATGGAGTCATCTGGAATTACCAATCTCCCCACTCCCCCCCCCCACCCCCCCTCACATACAACGTCCTCCTTCCCTCTCTCTTTCCCTTTTCACACACATGACACACATAGATACATAGGATTTTGGAACCTGATCTAAGAAAACATAGCATAATAGCCAAGATCCTGAACTGGGGAGTTAAACGGAACCAAATTTCAATACCAGCTGTACCAATCACCAGTTGTATGAGCTGGGATAAGTATTTAATTTCTCTGGGTCTCAGTTTCTTCATCTGTGAAATGCACATATAATACTACTCAGGTCTGTGTGTTAATGCAGGGTCAGAAGTAATGTTTGTAGGGTCCTCAGTGAATACACAGGAACAAATATTAGCTCTGACTCCATTTGGTTCAACTATAAGAGCTGTCTAACAGGGTGACGGACCTGCCTGGGGCTGCACAGTTCAGATCCTGTGATCTAAGTTCATTGTGAAAATTACTTTGCTATTCCCACAGCCACACACCTGAATAGTGTGTGGGTCTCTTTCATCATAGGCATACCACACCACGTAATTAAACACACATTTTGAAAACTGTTCAAGTCTGAGGTTTTGATCATATCAGCCCCTTCCCAATCTTGGCAATTTATGAAAATCATTTTTGATCAGATGATTTTTTTTAATATCTCTCACACTGACTCAACACAGAGAAAGAAGATGCTTTCTAGCCAGTCTTTAAAATGAAGAAGAACAGAGACGATGTTTACAAATAAACCCAGGCAAGGAGAGGGCTTGAAAAGGGAAAGCCATTCTCCCCTGCAGCCATTTCGGGAGGCTTGCTTAAAGGATGCAAGGTGTATCAAAGAAAGGAAATTTGGAGGAGGAATTAATGTGTCCTCCTTCCTCCATTACTTCTCTAGGATTTGCTAATAATATGGGAAAGGGGAAAGAGCCTCCTTGCCCCTCCCAGGGAAGAGCACACTGTTCTGGTCCCCTCTTTGTGGATAGTGTTGGAATGTGCACTGGCACCTAGGCCTTTTAAAAGCTTGTTGGGGTGAGGGTGCTCCCCATCCCACAGTGAAATGCTGCACTGCCTGGTGGAGCTGCTAAGTGGCACTCCTGGTGTAAATGAAAAATATGCCCTGTACATGTGACCAAGTCAAGGATCCTTTCATGAAGGGACATTAAAACAATCTTCAGTCCAGCAAGCTCAGTTCCTGCCACTGAAAAGTTCCCGGTGATAAAGGGATGAGATTTTGCTGAAACTATGTAACTGTTACTTTGTTTTCTCTTTCTCTTTTATGTAGCCATCATTTTGTAACAGAGTCTTATTATGAGAAAATTTACAAAGACAACACTCATTTTAAGAAAGGAAACTCAGAATAATTTACAAAACATTCAAGGCACTGCCATTATGATAGTTGTAAAGATATACAAGGCACTACATGATGTGCCAACTTCTATTTGGCCCATGAGACTTACAGCTCCAAATGCATAATGTAAGGTCCCCAGAGGTCCTTGGAAACTGGGCTCATTTGGTCCCAATAATGAGGTGGATGGAGAGTTGCTGATTGAGAGGGAAAAAAGGTATAAAGTATAACACAAAGAGCTTAAGTCAGAGCTGAGGGAGAGAGCACCTTGGACAGATATGTGTATACAGGTATCTGCTACCTGAAGGAGGCTGCCATGATTTTTATTTTGATTTAATGATTTTTGTACCAGAGATTGAACCCAGGGGTGCTTAACCATGGAACCACATCCCCAGCCCTTTTTAGTTCTTATTTTGAGACAGGCCTTTGCTAAATTGCTGAGGCTGGCTTTGAACTTGCAATCCTCCTGCCTCAGCCTCCAAGTCACTGGGATTACATGCATGTGTCACCATGCCCAGCTTGCCCTTCATTCTTTCCAAAGGGTAGGGGTGCAGGAGTTGCAGGGAAGTGAACCTTAGGGTGGGTATCTCCCAAATGATGTTTTATTCTCATTTCATTGCTAGAAAACAGGCTTATCTAGGAAGCAAGACAACTGCCCCTGAATTTCTAACCCCATACTGTATTATTACACAAAAACATCAAAAAGTGGGTGTGTCTGTGTGTATGATATGTTTGGGAGACTTGATGTTTCCTTTTTTTGCACAAGAAAATTTAATGATAATCACCTTGAGGTTCTTTTAACTGTAGGGAAATGAACTTGAGCTCTGAAATGAATGATCAGTACTTAAATCCTTGTGAATAGAATATTATGGGTTTCTTATAATGTAACAGTGTTCATTAGTCAATTCATCATTTCTCATCATGAATTAATTATGCTGATAGCAATGATTAGAGCTATTACATAATCTAAGTACTAATTTATAAAGCTGACTCACAATTTAGCCACACGCTTCTTATCTGTTCTTCTTCAGTAAATCTAATTCTTACACTTCTTGAAAACATGATTCTTCCTCTAAATTTTTATGGAAAATTAAGACGCACGAATAATCCACAATTCCTTAAGTGTATGTACATCCATGTACTCTAAAGATTAAAGAATAGGGCAGAATGTTAAGAACAAACTAGTTAATTTGTTTGTAATGAAGTTTAAAATTATTGACACCCATTCTAAACATGAGTCAAATAGTTGGAAGAAACCTTCCCCCAAATATCCCCCTTCTATGGCAAAAAAAAAAAAAAAAAATTCTAATGTGTCATCTCCTATATTTTCTTTGTATTTGATCAATGATCTAATAAAAGTTTGCCCAACTAACAATCAAACAAAAAGCAAAAGTTTGAGAACAAAATCCATTTTGTTTCAGAGTAACTGTATATTTGTCAGTGTGACACAGCACATTTGAAACCCATAATCATAAAACAAAAATTTATAGCCAGGGTTCAGGGTCTACATCTGTTTCTCTGGTTTTCGTACAGCAATTACCCACTGGACAATCCAGAAAGAAACACCATGAATCATGCTCTGCAAACATGTTTGAACTGGAGAGTTTCCTGAAGACAGAGCAGGCATCTGTGTGCACCAGTTTTGCAGCCAGGGACTTCAAAACTGGTTGAATACTTTGTGATGTCTAAATAAGAAGAGTCTCACAGGCAGAGACACATCCACCCAGGCCAAAAGGCATGCAAAGTGCACGCAGACACAGGGGCGAGGCAGACACAGATTATTTTAAAGACATGCCTAACTCCTTTATGGTGGTTTTGAATTTTTCTTTTTCTTTCTTTTCTTTTTTTTTTTTGGTGCCAGGATTGAACCCAGGCATGCTTTACCACTGAGCCACATCCCCAGCCCTCCCCCCCCCCACTTTGTTTTTTGTATTTTATTTAAAGACAGGGTCTTGCTGAGTTGCTTAGGGACTCACTAATGCTAAGGCTGGCTTCGAATTTGCAACCTTCCTGCCTCTGCCTCCTGAGCCACCAGGATTATAGGCGTGTGGTTCCTGGCTGCAGTTTTATTTTTATTTTGTAAAACTGTTCCTGTTAGTGCCATATAAACAAATCCCTCTTGCTACAGTTTTGACAGAAGAATATCTGGCTAGTATTGAGTTGATGTGTGTGCTTCTGCAAGGAAGCCATGGTGGGGATGTTCCAGGTCTGGGGCTGTTCCCAGTGCTGTTGTCTGGACTATGAGCAAATCTGCTTTTGTGCCAATACCAGGGAGAAGGTCTAACAGTAACCAGCACAAAGACTTTTTGCTTATAGTCCTTCACTCAGGACTACTGCTGATGTAACAGAGTTGTATGTGAATGAATGGACATGGGTATGTTTAATAAAGTTGTATTTACAAAAAAGGGTAGTACACTAGGTTTGGTTCCTGGGTTGTAGTTTGTCTATCAATCTGTGTTCTAGACCAACATTTCACAATTAAATTCAGATTGCCTTGTATCTTTCCTTAGAAGACCTACATATAGATATTTGGGTTTAGTGAACAATTTTCTTTCTTTTTCTTTTTTTTAGCAGTACTAGGGAATCAAACCCCGAACCTTGTACATGCTAAGCAAGTGCCCTACTATGGAGCAATTGCATCTTTAGTCCCTGGCCTCCCCTTTTTCTTTTGTACTGGGGATTAAACTCATAGGTGCTTCACCACTGAGCTACATTCCCAGCCTTTAAATTTTTTTTTTTTTTTTAATTTTGAGACAGGGTCTCAGTAAGTTCTTAGGACCTCTCTAAATTTGCTGAGGCTAGCCTGTAATTT